TTTAAGGTATCTTTKAGGTCTGAGATGTCTTTGCTGATTTTATATCTTGATGACCTATTTTTTATTCTAATTAGTTATGTATGACAGTAGAATGCATTTTGATACATGATGTAGAGTTACACCAGTCATGTAATCATATATGCACACAGGGTAATAATGTCTGATTGATTGTACTATCATTACTACCCCCATATCACCCCCTTCACTCCCCCTCTGTCTAACCCAAAGTACCTTTATTCTTCCCTACCCATCCCCTGTGGTAGATTAGCTTCTACATATCAGAGAAAACATTTGGTCTTTGTTTGGTTCTTTGGGATTGGCTTATTTCACTTAGCATGATATTCTTCAGTTTCATCCATTTACTGGCAAATGCCATAATTTCATTCTTCTTTAAGGCTGAGTAATATTTCATTGTGTATGTATACTACATTTTCTTTATCCATATATCTGTTGGAGGGTACCTAGATTGGTTCCATAGCTTAACAATTGTGAATTGAGATGCTATAAACATTGATGTGGCTGCATTACTATAGTATACTGATTATAAGTCTTTTGGGTATAAACTGAGGAGCGGAATAACTGGGTCAATTGGTGGTTCCATTCCAAGTTTTCTGAGGATTCTCCATACTGCTTTCCATAGTGATTGCACCAATTTGCAGCCCCACAGCAATGTTTGAGTATACCTTTTTTCTCCCTACATCCTCGCCAACATTTATTGTTACTTGTATTCTCTTTTTAAAAAATTTTTTTTGTAGTTGTAAATGGACAGCATGCCTTTTTTTTAATTTTTATGTGGTGCTAAGGATAGAACCCAGTTTCTCATACATGCTAGGCAAGTTATTTGAGCTACAACACTGAGCTACAACCCCAGCCCTGCGTATTCTTTTCTTTAATTTTTTTTTAGTTGTAAATGGACACAATACCTTTATTTTATTTATTTTTATGTGAGGCTAAGAATTGAACCCAGTGCCTCACACATGCAAGGCAAGTGCTCTGCCACTGAGCCACAATCCCAGCCCCCCTGTGTATTCTTGATAATTGCCATTCTGACTGGAATGAGATAGAATCTCAGTGTAGTTTTGGTTTGCATTCTCTAATGCCTAGTGATGTTGAACTTTTTTTTTATATATTTGTTGATTGATTGTATTTTTTCTTCTGTGA